CGTGGCAGCGTTCTTACTTTCTTAGTCGTCTCGCTGGCCCTGTCTTACTTTTTAAAAGTCAATTTCCACTGGGCATTTTTCATATCCCCAACAACCTCCATGCTTTCGGCTGCTGTGCTAGGATGGCATAGGTCTCTACTGTTATTTTAGTATACTCTTGTTCCGGAGAAGTTGTTTGGCTTTTTGGCTGACAGCACTTCACAGGGAGGTGTGTTTCTTCTGGCTTCGTAAGTCCAGAGTTAGGATGGACCGGCAGTGTCTCGTGTATAATTATTTACTTTCTTTGCCAGTTTTTTTATAGAAGCATTTTCAAAAAGCAATAGTTAGAGCAGTATTTTTTTTTTCCCTAGTTTACTCCATGCGTGTTTCAAAGTTTGTAACTCTTATACGTCTCGATGCAGTAACCCGAGGTAACTCTTTACGGAAAGTCAATGTAAAATCAGAAACCTGTTGTGCGGTGTGGGATCCAGTGTCTGCGACTGCGTGTCCTGCTCTCGTTTGTGTGGTGTGGGATCCAGTGTCTCTGATGGTGTGTCATGCTGTCATTTGACGTTTGCCCAACATAACGTGCAAGATACTGAAGGTTCTTAGCAAAGCAATTGCATAGAAAAAAGGTGGGGCTGGGAAAAAGACCTGACATTGAAAAAGAGTGTATATGGAGTTTACCTTTAAGAGATTGGGCATCTGGTGCAAGAACTGCTTTGAAGTTGCCATCAGATAAATGAAATTATTGAACCAACTTTTAGAAAAGCAGATGAGCTTCAAAACACATACACACATGTAGTGTGTGTATATAAACTATTTTATATGATTAAAAAAATATAGAGGGCACTGAAGAGGGATCTGTGTCAGGTGACCTACTTCCTAAGTAGTCAGCGTCTGGGGCCAGTTTTCTCTCCCCAGAGTGTATTGGACACCCGTCTGGACGCCGTTCGGCCAGTAGACATGTCATTCCTCGGCACACTTTGGGGCCAGGCCTCGTGCAGCCACCACCTGGATCCTTAGTCCGTCTCTCTCCCTTCTAACTGCTTTTTGCATCAGCAGCCACCTCTGTCCACAGAAACCAAGGTTTGTGGTTCTACCTACCTTGAACTTACTGATGGGGCTCTCTCTATCATTTCAGGTTGAAGACCTCTGGAAACTTGCTGTATGAAATTTGCTCAAATCCTCACTGGTTGCTGCGTCCGTTCTTGGATTTGAGCCAGCATGGCTTATACCACAAAAGTCAATGGCTATGGTGCAGGTAAGAGCGCTCTGATGACAGAGGGAGGGAGGAAAGGGTATGTCTTTTTTTAATAAAGGATAGATAATAGCAAGTGGCCTAGAGAAGTAGAATTTCACAGCAACTTTGTATCTCGTTAAAGTTGTTTCTTCTTTAAACTCTTAGAAGACTTGTCTTAAAATACACACACACACTTTTATTTGTTTAGGGGGCATCAGAGGACGACTTTGTGGGGGGAGTGCTCCCCTTCCATCATGTGCATTCCAGGCATTGAACTCAGGTGATCAGTCTTGATAACAGGTGCCTTTACCTTACCGAGCCATCTGGCCCACCTTTGCTTTTCTCTTTAAGACAATCTTACCTAAAAGTTCTGTTGATGTGTTGAGAAAGAAATGTAAAAATCTTGACTGTTGATCTAAGCACAAGGCGCACGTACTCAACTTAGACTTCTCTCTGAGTAATCTTTAGATGAACGGCGACCAGTTTTGATCCTGAAAACCAGTTCCTACCTAGGAGGTTTGTTTGATGAGACCAACCATGGGGATGCAGTGAACAGAAACGGAGCCTAGACACATTTGTTTCCTTGTCCAATGTCAGAACTTATGGTGTATCAGTAAATTTATAAGTCCAGTCAGTTCTGTTGGCTATGATTCACCGGGTGATCTTGTCTTTACTTGGTGGTGTGGCAGTTTGCAGCCTAAGGTTCTTTTATTCCCGTCTTAGGAACTCTTAAGTGCACACTACACATACCATAATGATACATCATCTACGGAATGGCCTCACTAGAAGGCAGAGGCAAGAGTGGTACCCATGCAGTGCAGATGGTCAAGTCAGATTCATGACCAGGGCAAGCTGAAGCAGAGTGCACTGCCTAACCAAGTCCTCATGAGTGGCACCAAGTCCAAGCTGGGGACAGTCTGAAGTCCAGTGCTGATCGATCAGTTGGTTAGATGGCATGTCCCCGGGTGACACTCTGTCCCAGTGTTAGCTCTCCATCCTTTATGGTATCCAGGTGAGGAGGTCATATTCATCACCCTCCTGGTGTGCTCAGTAAATTCTAGGACCTGGCTTTTCTGTGTCCCCAACCAGCTTTGTTAAATTCATAGTATCTCGTAGCTTGGTTGAACAAGTAACGTGCTTCCGGGTTCACGTTGTACTAGTCGAGGTATCTAAGATGGAGGCTCGTTCTGACTCAGCATTTGATTGAAAGGGAGTCCACCTGTTGCTTCATCCAATAGAGTCACTCTGGGCAAGGCGTAGCTAGTTTTATACAATGTGGGATAACTTAGAGTAGAACATAGCTCAGTCGCCCCAGGAAGAGACTGTATGCTGTAAACAACCTCCTTTTGGAGTGTGTAACAGCTATAAGTTTGAATCATGAAGACTTGTACTCTTACTTTGGTTATATTAGAGACCTGCATGTATTGAATTCCAGTTTGCTTTTGTAAGACTTGGGAGAAGTTTGTAGAATAAATGGGGGGGGGGTCATGCTATTAGAAGGTAACCTGCGTAATCAACATATGGAATATTAATTCCTCTTTGGAAAACTTGCTGAGTAGCTGCAGGATTGACAGCGAGAGTTTCCCGCTCCAGAGCCTGACTGGAGTCCTAGCTTTTCTGACTCTGAGCCCCCTCACACAGCAGCATGGTATTCAGGAAGGGCAGACGCTCAGAGCCAGGAGACTTCATTTAGCATTTGCGGTCTGCTTAGTTAGCATTTGTACTCCCGCTCCTGTTGTAGAGATCTGTTTCAGCCCCTGCCTCCCCACTTCCTGACCTTGCCTTGCTCCGCCCTTGAGAGCTGGTGGTATCTGGTGGCAGCAGGAACTTTCTTCCCGATTTGGTTTCCTGCCTACTAGGTCTGGGCATCAAGTGCAAAGTAAAGGAAAGCCTTCAGATTCTGTGTTCCAGGATGTGCTGGTATGAATGGTTCCTAGCGGCATCTGGTCTAGACAAGGGGACGAGGAATCCTTGCTTCTACTGGTATAAGTAAGCCTCCAAGCCAGAGTTCTCAGCCTTCCCGATGCTGCCGCCCACTAATACCGTTCCTCATGTGGTGATGACCCCAACCATAAAATTGTTTTCGTTGCTATTTGATAACTATACTTTTGCTACTGTTATGAATTATAATATAAATATCTATGTTTTCCAATGGTCTTAGGCGACCCTCGTGGAGACGTCGTTTGACCCCCAAAGGGGTCATGACCCATAGGTTGAGAACTACTGCTTTAAGCAAATTATCCGTACACAGTTGCTTGGTTAACACACATGGATTTATCTGTACATGACACTCATTAGAAGTATTGGACTTTCTAAAAATAAATTCAAAATCCTTGGTACTACTGCCACCCAAAAATAGTTTTCTCACTTTCCAAATTTTCACATTTTAAATATTTTTGATGATAAAAGATTTTTCTCACCAAATCATTGTTTTGTGTGTTTTTCCGCTCTCATTTTGTATTACACAAGAAATACGTGCCCACGGACCTATCAGGCAGTTCTCAGCCACCCGTACCTCCTGCTCTCGGGGCTCCGGATCCTTTTTCTGTTCTCCATCGGGATCTGTACTCTGGTGCACATCTCCCCTACATACTCAAAATCATGACTTAAAAATTAAAGTGATTCTTTTTACAAGTGAGTTTTGTGTGTTGATTGGTTTTGCTGTCACCTTGACACAGGCTAGGGTCACTTGAGGAGAGGGAAGCTCAACTGAGAACAGTGGCTCCCTAATTTTGCCTTAGAAAAGCCTGTGGCACATTTTCTTGATGGACAGTTGATGTGGGAGGGCCCAGCCCATTGTGGCTGAGAAAGTAACCCAGTAAGCAGCATTCTTCCATGATCCCCTTCAGTTCCTGACTGGGGTTACGTCTGAGTTCCTGCCTTGACTTCCCTCAGTAATGGACTATGATGTGGAAGCGTAAGCCAAATAAACCCTTTCACCCCAAGTTGCTTTTGGTCACAGGGTTTTATCATAACAGTAGAAAGAAAATTAAGGAATTCTATATGGTGGGGGGGGCAACTAGTGGGGACCTGTGAAACTGGTCTGGGTCATTTAGTAGAAGTTTTAGATATAAGCTATATGTTTGCAGGTTCCCTCCTCCAAAAAAATGTCATGTTTATGATTTTTTTAATTGCATTTCTTTTAAATATGGTCTCCCAATCCTTTCCCTAAAATTAACCGTTTGGGATTTATACAACATGAATAGGAAACTCTTTTCATGTTTGTACGAGTCAAGGAAAAGTGACCAATAGAAAGCACCACAAGATCAAACTGCCACTGTGGGCAGGGAAGCTAAAATAGAGCATGTGTTTACACCACAGAAGGGCTGTGTGTCTGAGGTTCGCGTTTAACTGGTGATCTGTCTACTTCTGCTTGCTAACCCTGGCTAAGCTGCCCCACCCAAACCCCTTCCCTTTGCGTCACCCCCGTCTGCACCAGTCATCCTCATGACACTATCTCTTTTTAGCAGAGCTTTGGCTACTTCTGTCCCCTGGCATAGTTCGTATGTACTCGTTCAGAACACGGCTCGTGCCTGCAGAGTCTGCCCTCAGGAGCCGGGCTGTCGAGATTGCGTTTGACTGTTCTGTAACTAGCCGGGCGGTAGACATCCCCCTGGTTAGAAAGGTACCCGGATTTCCTCGGGGTCTCGAAATGGGGACAGTCTGTTCTTCACCCAAGTTCCCAAGTCGTGTCATCAACTGGCTACACTGATTGATACCTCTCTAAACACTAATTAATGTTGTGAAACTTTAATTAGACCTTAGGATTCCTTTAGAAGCCAAATAACAAGTGGCTGATTTGTCAGATGAAGATAATAACCCGTGCCTTCTTTTCTTCACAAGACAGGTGTGAGGGAAAAAAATAGGCAAAGCTGTGAACTTTGCCTTCATTGTTGTGGTTCTTCTGAGACAGGGTCTCCAGGCTGCCCTTGAACTCAGTCCTCTTTCCTCCCGAGTGCTGGGATGACAGGCATGAGCCCTTACACCTTGTTTGGGAGAACACATTTTAAGGCGCAAGTGCTAGGCAGATGTCAGGGGACAGGCCAGTTGTCCTTGCCCCGTATTCCCTGTCCTGAGCCCCGCTCTTGTGCCCTCATGTGGAAAACCCCCCCCCCCCCCAGGTGCTGAGACATTGGTGCCAGTGTATTCTCCTGTCCCTCTCTAACAGTTAAATGGGATGTACGGGCGAGTGTGGTTCAGTGACTTTTCTGGCCACTGTTACCGTCTTTGCGTTTGCGATCAGCTGCCTTCCTCCGTTGTGGCTTCTACCTCTTGTCATTCTGGGTGTCTTTCCTCACGTGTCTGCTTACTTGCGATGTCTGCTCACTTACTTACTGGCTGCATTAAAAATTTTAAGTTATTAGAAAAATGCTCTGTGGTTCGAGAGTATTTGCTGCTCTTGCAGAGGACCTGGGTTGGGTTCCCAGCACTCAGACGGCAGCTCACAACTCTCTGTAAACCAGCTCCGGGCTATTACCTGATCGATGACCCCTTCTGGTCTTTGTGGGCACCAGGCACACAAGTGGTGCACACATATCTGTGCCAGCAAACACTTCTACATATAAAATAAAATCACTTCTAACTCCATTTTTAAAAATCGATTGGATCGCATTCATGAATCTGTTAGGAAGAGAGAAGGGAGCATACTTACAAACCCATCCCTGGGGAAAATGATGCCGCAAGCCCCCTCTTGCCTTGGCATTTTTCTCCTCTTCTATGAGTTCCTGAGCGTAATTTCACAGAAATGGGAGTTGAAGAGCTCAGCTTTGTAATGGCCTCAGTAACTGTCACGGATTTTGAATCTGCTTAGCCAGGGCAGTTGATTTGGCTGTGGATTTTGTCTCTATGCTGATCTCAATTGAGGTACAAAGGGCATTGATGAGGCCGGGTCAAGCAGACAGAGCCCAAGACTCCTGCAGAGCAGGCAAAGCTAGCTGTGACACCCACAGCCCACTCTGGGTTGTGTAAATATTTTTTCTGGGCAGGCGCGTTTCTCAAACAGAACTCTGAGCCCACTGAGGGTGAGCCTAGCAGCTGGAATTTCGAGTTTAAACACCACTATGCGTTGACTAGTCTGCCTGGAATCACGGTGGTGTTTGCTGAGACCATCTTTAGGAAGGACACAGCGGAGCTGCCGTGTCCCTGAGGGTGAGTTCCAGCCCTGCCGTCTAGTTACTCTGGTCCCACAGGCAGAGCTTAAAAGGCATATAAACAGTGCTATGCTCTGACTTCTGGGGTCTCTTGGTTCTGTCTGTAACGGGACGTTAGGTGGATGTTTTTATTTCAGCCCTGTATTTTCCTGTGAGGAGTGTCATCAGATTGTCAGAAAAAGCCGAGGGTAAAACCGGCTTTTATGTATCTTAACATAAAAATACAGGTAGGAGCAAGAGGAGGTCTGTTTTATATCAGTTGTCTGGCCTCTCTTCCCTCCTCTGAGAAGACAAAACCCAACTTGTGCAGTTCACCCAGTGAGCCAGTGGCTAAGGCAAGTCCGCCTTGTGTTGTCATTGACAGAGTATATAGTGTCTGGTCAAGATAGTGTGAGAAAAGAGACCAAGGGAGATGTATGTTAAAGGTTTCTGTGCCCCAATAAACCTCTCTGCAGACGCAATAATCCAAATCAGACCAAATCAAGCTGAATTGGAAAAAACCCAGGTTTAACGGATGCCAAAGCTCCCAGGTGGCCTTCCAGCACCTCAGAGAGGAAACTGGGAAAGAAGACCGGAAATCCACGTGTCTGTTCTCTGGGGGCAATTTAAATACCCTGTGGGAGTGGTCTTGAGCATCTCTGGGGTGGGGGGTGTCATCATTTGGGGGGCTTTCTCAGAGGTGAAGTCTGGACTGAGGCAACCCCCAGGGAAGGGGGCTTGGGATGGAACTTCCACCCAAACACTCCAGACTCTTTGGATATATGGATGCCAGAGGCTGGGGTGAATGAAGCCTCAACCCAAACAGTATGTATTTCAGCAAATTTATTAATACCTGGGAAGTGTGATGGTTAAAAGCAAAATATCCTTTAAGATTGGGGTTTTGGTAATAGGTATTTTCTTTAATGCTAGTTTCCTAATATGCATGATAAAGGTTATATTGATAGTTTACCTTTTAATGCACATTAGTGTGCATTGTTTAATTGAATTCCATATTATTTAGTGCCTTATACTTCTCTATTGTACCATGAACTTCCTTCCTAGCATTGGATGTGTTTATTGGATTTAATTATATTGTACATTTCAGCTTTTAATAAAACATATTAATTTATCGAAGGCTAATTTCACACCGAAGGTCACAAATAAAGTAATTTTTCTTATAACAATGGTCTTTGATGAGGCTTTTTTTTTTTAAAGTCAAATAGTTTGAATTTTATAATTGTTAAAATGCCAACACTAGTTACAAATAGGAGACCCTGGGTTTTGGAGTCTTGCCTGGGTGGCTAAACAGAACCCCAGAGTTGATGCCCACCCCTGGAGAGACTGTGGAAGATCTTCCTCACTCAGGGCTTGCCTGTTGTACTAACACTCCAGGCTTCAGCCTTAACCTGTAGCCAGCTTCCCCTTCCAAGCATTCTTTCTTCCAGGCTTGCCCAGTCTTAATGGGTTAAGCATCAGATTTCAAGCAGGCGATTAGGGCTGCAGCTAAGCCGGGACTGGTGAGTACCAGCCTCCTTGGGCGTAGGAAGGAGAGAAAAGGGCTCCTCCCGGGGCAAGGCAAGGAAAGCTCAGCTGCAGACTTCTACTGCGCTGACTCTAAGAGCCCTGGAAGCCAGCACAGAGCCGGCCCAGCCCCTGCCACACTCCGGGACTCCCCACCGTGAGTACTGTCGTTTATTATGATTCGCGCCCGTCTGTGCTGTCTTCACTGGCTTCAGTGGGCTGGGGAATCCATCCATGGACGGCTCACCTTTTCCAGGGCTTCTTCCTGTGTCCTGTTCCTCTGTACAGTCTCAGAGGTTTCTATGGGCTGGGAGGAAAATGACTGATAAAGTTCCAAGTCTCTGCTTTGGTGTTCTTTCCTGTAAAAAGCTGTTTGGTTTGATCCGGCATGAAGAATGTAAGCATAGTTCTTAGATTCATGGAAGCAATAAATTCCACTCTTTTCTGGAAAAAAAATGCATTAGCATTTTCTAGAGTAGACGTCACCAATAAAAACTTGATTCTGGATCTGGAAATCATATGTGGCTGGATTAATTCAAACTGCTGTAGCTAGAGAAGCGATTTGCTGTCAGACGTCACAAGTACTGTGTTCACTTGAGTTCTTGTTTGTCCTGGAAGAAGGTTTTTCTCTCTAAGTGATCTCTTGTAGTTTGAATGTATTTCCTGGGGCTGGAGAAATGAATGTCTCAGTAGGTAAAAGTGCCTGCGTCGCAAACAGGAGGACCCGAGTTCAAACACTCTGAGGCCAAGCGTCTTGGCTTCTCTGCGAAGAGTCTGAATGAGCTGTTCATTGGCTCATTCATTTTCCTGTTTGTTAGGGAAAATGTGCTCGTGTTTAGAAGACAAATTGGATTCAGCTTTGGGGCTATGCAGTTTATTAGAAAGGCTAAAATAATATGCAGCCCATTTGTGTCTAAACACTGGTGATCTCAGCGGGGAGTTCTGTTCAGACAAGTGGGCGCCCCACTTAAAAATAATTATGCTTCTATTTTGAGGATTTTTAAAAATACAGTGGTGGCCAGATTCCTCATCGGAGCAGAAGTTAGAAGCAGTGACAGCTACAGTCCAGACTCCGTGTTGTCCTCAAGTCTTCTCTCATCAATAGATAGGAAGTAGAACTGTAGGCAGTGAAGTTTTGTCAGGGGCTAGATGTCTGGTTTGCAGGACTTAACTTAGCTGGAAAATCAAGCTTCTGGAGTCCTTATTTTATGCAAGCCAGGTTTGAAGGATCCCTTGACAGTTCCTTCACCTGGATCAAGGGCTGTAGACTTTATTACATCTTCAGCATTATAAACCTTTATTTATGGAGGAAATAAGAATTCAGAGAAGCAATTTGCTTTTAAAAGTCACAAGTACTGTGTTCATTGCAGTTCTTTTTCTGTAGCTTCAGGTCATCAAAGAAGGTTTTTCTCTCAAGTGATCTTCCTTATTTTGAAAGTATATTCTGGGACTGGAGAAATGTCTTGGTTTATAAAGTGCCTGTTGCACAGACATAAGGACCTGAGTTCAGATCCACGGCACCCACACAAAAGCCCGGGGTGGTTGCAGGTATCTATAACTCTAGTATGGTGGTGCAGAGGCAGGTGGCTCTCTGGAGTGTGTTGGTCAGCTAATCAGTGAGTTCTAAAGACACAACAGAGCCAGGTGTGGTGGTGTAGGCTTTAATCCTGGTGCTCAGGAGACAGAGGCAGTCAGTGTGAGTTCAAGGCCAGCCTGGTCTACTTAGTGGGTTCTAGAACAGCCAGGGCTATACAGTGAGACCCTGTCTCAAACAAACAGCAGCAACAACAACATATATGTATGTGTGTGTGTATGTACATATGTATATGTTTACATATATACATATACATATATAGTGGAGAATGGTAGAGGAAGACACCTGCCTGGCCTCCACATGTATATACACAGTCTGATGCATATAGGCACAGAAGGAAGGAAGGAAGGAAGGAAGGAAGGAAGGAAGGAAGGAAGGAAGGAAGGAAGGAAGGAAAAAAGAGAGATAGAGACAGAGATGGGAAAGGAGGGAGGAAAGGAGGAAGGAAGGAAGAAAATTTAAAAAACAAAATGTTCCTTGTTATTGTTACGGAAAAAAATCCTAAAATGAACCGCTCCACCGGCGCAAAGAAATCCAATGAGGTCAGATTAACTGAGGGCACAGCAGGGGAGACAGAAAAAGCGGGGAGCACGTGCAAACCCAGAACCATGCATTCCTCCTCTGGGAGCCCACTTAAATACCCTGTGGGGAGGGATCAGGACCTGGCATGCTGGGATTTGAAGTCCAGAGCAATGCAACTCTGAGGCCAGGGGGCTGGAATGGATGCCAGGGGCTAGGGTGACGCTCCCGACTTAACAGTTAGGTAAAACCAAAAGAGAATCAGTGGCTTCTGTATTTGTTCACATAATATTTGGTCGAGTCGATAAACCCCATCAGCTTTGCAGATAATTTTGTGAAAACATCGACTGAGCACACTTTGTCCATTTTTCCCATCCCTGCCCTCCTTTGAGCCCTTTCCTCTTGTCTGAGCCCATCAGTCCAGGACATGATGTTCCTCTGACACAGGTGCATGTTAGAGTCTCCTGCAAGGAAGGGGACAAATGCTTCAAGTTGGAAACTTGGGAGGCGGGGGTTGGGAGACTGGGCATTTCCAGCAGTTCACAAACCTAGTGCTTAGTGTCTTTGTAGTACTAGTGGTGTGTGTCAGCCCTTTCATCCTCTGTCAACCTCCTCTAAGTCCAGAGACCCAGCAAGGTACGACCAATTCTCTGTCTGTATTTTTGATGGGCTAGGATGCTGTATTCCAACTGGGAACACACCAGGAAAACTTAAGGGCACAGCCTGCTCCCCTGCTCCCCTCCAACTGAAGACAGAGTTGGTTTGTCTTTGGATGCCCTGGCAGAGGATGCTGAAGTACTCGCCGGGTTTCTGTAGCACGTCCCCTTGCTGGTGCGCGGCCTTACAGTGGTGAATCAGTCCCATGATGCCCTGGCGTTTCCAGCACTCCAGGGTGGAGACCTGGAAGTCTGTGGGCCAGTGTGGGAGGAGGCATGGTCTGCCTGTGAAACGATTCCAACAATGTAGCTTACAGGAAGAAATTGCAAAACACGAAGCCCTGTGCCACCAGATTTTTCTACTAGTGCCAGGTTCTGCCCAGATCTGCCCCAGGGACTGTGTGAGGGAGATGGCCCCAGTGTGTCGTGAATTTTAGGTCTAGTCACCTCTCTGTGTATCCCAAAGAGGCCACAGGGAGCCCATGTTTCTCCTCCCACACACTCAGCAGTTGCAGAAACAGCTGTAGCTATCTGTCCTCTGAAGACATTGCTAGGGCTTTATCTGGGCACCAGAAAATAGCGGCTGGAGTCCACAACGCCTCAGAGTACTGATTTGAAATAAAGAATCCCAAAATAGACTCGTAGAAGGTTAAAGGGATTTCAGGGCCAGAGGTTTCTCCCCTGTCGAAACCTTTGGTTTTCCCCAGAATGTGTGACACTGGAA